GGGGTTTTTTTTTTTGTTTTGGGGTATGGAAAATTTAAAAAAAATTTTTTTTTAAAAGGAAATAGAAAAAATTACCCCCAAAAAAATTTAGGAAAAAAACTGAAGTACTTTCCCCCCCCCCTTTTGGGGGTTTGTCCACATCTTCATAGAAAAAAGAAAAATTTGGTTGAAAATTTCAATGGAGAAAAACCCAGTCCCCCAAATATGAATAAAAACCCAGAAAAACCAAATTAAAGACTATACACTCCTCCAGGGGAAGGGGTTTGAAGAAAGTTCTCACCGACCCTTGGGGGCCGTCTCAAGGTTGCTGGGTCATTACAGTTGCTGGGGATAAATTCGAGCCCGTTATTGAAAAATAAAAGGGTTTGCGGCTTAGAACTTTGCCCAGACAACATCCCCATGCTAATTAAAGAGCCTTTTTAGCTCGTTTTAAAGGGGTTTACAAGGGCATGTCACATTGGTTTAAACTCAAAAACCCCGGCCTTTTCCTGAAAATTTGGGGGTTACAAACTTTATTAAAAGAAAAGTTTTTAAAATCATATATTTTTATATAATTTTATATAAATTTTATATATATATATAAATTTTTATATAAAAAAAATATATAAATAAATATATATTTTATATATATATAAAAATTTATATATATGTCGTGCCGAATATGTAAAACTGGAAAATTTACCCAGAACCTTTAAAATTAAGTTCCTTTTTTTTAAAAATTTCTCTTTACTTTTAAAGAAAAAATTTTTTTCATTAAGGGTTAATGTAAAAATTTTTAATTTTGCCCCAAAAGAATCTTAGAAAACTTACCTAACCTTATTATAACAAGAACAATTTATTTTAGCCTAACCCCAACAAATATATTTTAGATTTGTTTATAATAATTTAACACTAAACAAAAAACCCGTGAAATATTTTTTTTTCGTTAGTTCAGAATGATTTTGGCGAAATTATTGCATACACAAATTTTCACTTGTCCTATATGGCAAGATGAGCGTTGCTATTTAAGCCAAGATCGCAAGTTCTGCCTATTCGGCACCACACACACACACACAAAATTTATATTATATATAATATATTATAATATATATATATATATATATATATATATATATATATATATATATATATATATATATATTACGTATATAATGTTGTGCCGAATGGGTAAAATTTGCGATTTTGGCTTAAATAGCAACGTTCTTCTTGCCGAATAAGGGAAGCGAAAATTTGTGTATACAATAATTTTGCAAAAATCATTCTGAACCTTATGAAAAAAATATATTTCATTGTGTTTGTTTATTATTAAATTATTGTAAACTTTATCTAAAATATATTTAGTTGGATTATGCTAAATTAAATTGCGCTTGTTATGTGATTAGTTAGGTTTTCTAAGGTTCTATACTTGTACAAAATTATTAATTTTTACATTAATATAAATGAAAAAATATATCTCTAAACGTATAAGAGAAAATTTTATAAATGACTTAATTTTAAATGATTTCTTGCTAATTGACCAATTTTACCTATTCGGCGCCACCACACACACATTATATTATATATATAAATATATATATATATATATATATATATATATATATATATATTATATATATATATATAAAGCATATATATATATATATATATATATATATATATATATATATATATATATATAATATATATATATATATATAATATATATATATATACGTATGTATGTATGTTCTTGTATACATGTCTTACATAGCTTAATCGCACAAAAAAAAAATCGAGTAAGCTATACAAGACGCAAAACAACCACGAGATCGACACCATGCCCAGCCCTTCTAGGGTAGGGTAGGTGCCTGAGCCCGAGCTTTCATCTCACAAGATTGTCATTCCCATTAGCCCCTTTGGGACGGGGATGGCAGACCAGAGAGACCTAGCTTCTCCCTACGAGCCCCGTGAGGGCGGGGAATGTGGCTATTCCTGGGGACAGTTGGTCCCTAAGATGAGGGAGTACTTGTGCCTCCTCCCATGGGAGACCTAGGTCTCAGACACTCCCTAGACAGGGAGCCAAGGCCGGGCCACCACTTGGAAAAGGCCCGGGCCGGGAGAATACCGGTGAATCTTTAATAATAATAAATAAAACAACCACGAGGAGAGTTTATATATACCTTAAGTATACCTTATATATCTTATAAATACCGTACTGAGAGGTAATAAGGAACTGATTAAACAGTTATTAGCTAGGTCGGCTACACTCTCTTACATGTATGGTTTGATTAAAACCACAAGTCCGGTTTTCCAGCGTGACCTAGTATTAACCCAGTATGATCGGCGACATATGCCTTTGTCAAAATGGTTGGTAAAAATAATATCTCCAGTGCTGGGCAACATTTCTGAAGCTCATAAAAAATAATGTTGATCTCTCAGACAAACTGCAAAATTTGACGTCACGGCGTTGGTCACCAGAGTTCCTGTTTCCGATTTGCTATATTACTTGGAAGTAGAATTAGACAAGTTCTTCATGCCTTTTGATAAAAATTCCATTACTGAGCTGATTAAATTATATGTAGTTGACCGCAAGTTTAAGTTTGAAGGGAAATACTACGCTCAAAGGCAGGGAATAACTGGCAAATCCATTGTCTCACCTATTGAGCAATCTGTATATGGAGTTTTTCGAGGTGAGGCTATTGAAAGACATCCTTCCCTGTAAAGCTAGATGGGTTAAATATGTGAATGACATCTTGTAATTTTGGCCGAATGATATGGCCCTGGATACATTCTTACCGAGTCTCAATGTATTGGTCCTGTCTGTTAAATTCACTGTGGAGAAAGAAGTAGAATCTAAACGTCCTTTCCTAGATGTGTGGATACACCAGGTTGATAGCAAATTCAAATTTACAGTATATTTCAAGGTCACTAATGTGTGCTTATATATCCATTATTATTCCAACCATGAGACCAGAGTAAAAAGGAATGACTTTCTCACCATGTTTATGAGAGCTTACTGAGTATGTAGACCGGAATTTGTCGATGAAGAAATTAGGAAAATATTTGATACTGCAACGAAACTGCGGTACCCAAAGGATTTTGTGAAATAAGTGTAGTTGGTTTCTAAAAAAATAATCATAGAACTGAACCTAGGATAACACCTCTGATCAAGAATTTGGTGGTCCTCCCATAAAATGATAATTTATGTCCTGCCGAATGCTCTTAAAAAAATTTAACATACAGGTAGTTTTTAAAAGTTCATGGACTGTTAAAAACATTTTGATAAAGAATTCTCCACAACATTGTGTCGGTGGTGTGTAGAGAATCAGTTGCAATTGGGGCAACTTATCTTATGTTGGACAGACTGGCAAACCTCTAGATATTAGGGTATCACAACAAAAATATTAGATATGGAGTGCCCATGAATCAAATGTGATTCTCAGCCACATTACTCCTGAAGCTGAAGTCATTGTCCCTAGTTCCACTTTGCTTGGACGGAAGATTGTAGAATCGGCTATCGTAAAATATGATAAACATTCATTATATAATAATAGTGGTGGCTTATTCAAATTAAATTCATTTATGGTGGAGGCTATAGTCCATAGCTTATGACAGGACTCGATGTAAATGTGATGGATTGTATTAAATGTAGCACACAGAGAAAATAGGCCTTCTTTGGCATGGTTCTGATGGTTCAACCAGTGTCCACCTCAAAATCTTGTTGAATAAACTGTGGTCATCTTCCTTTTGGATAAATTACAGATGTCTTGAACTTGTGGTATAAACTATGGCTGTACTTTCCCTTTGGATAAACTACAGATTTTTCCCCCTTTAACTGAATTCTCTTTAAATGAGTCGGCGGTGGACCTGTTTTCTAATGTATGGAAAATACCTTGATATCTGCCAGTTGACCGAAGTTTTGATAATTGTCATGCCATTAATTTTACGCTCATCGAGTTACCATTCCCTCTGAACGTGTTTGCTTGGACTTCAACCTCTTTTCTGCAACACTGCAAGTTCTTGATCCCAAATACTGTCTGCCAATATTTTCAGGGTCAGTTAATATGCCTGTATTATGTGTGAATCTATAATATTCCGATGATATTCCTATAGTATTCCAATTCATGAATATTCGAATATCCTTTAATACTACTAACAGCCTAACTCTGTAATCCACTGAGTTGTAATCAACCATGTGAACTTTCCACTATGTATGATAATTCGTGCAACTGTATCCATCCATATCCCTATCTGAATAAACCTAACTACTTACTTACTTTTAATGTTTATATATTATATCGATCATGTTGCCATCACTGATTGTAACTTTGTGTACCTGTAAGCGTACGATACAGTAGCAGCTAAACGGGTTATATATTATGCCGACATTCACGACGGACCTAACACAATGTTTGGTGAGCAGACACTAGTCAAACGTCACCAGAGCATCACGAGACCCCATGACATAATGAGTACGCCTGTAATTGTGTGTAACATTGTTGTTTAAGGTTGTACACAACAGAGTCCACTAAATAGCTATCGAGCTTGTACAACACATAATTTGAGTTATATACGGCATTTCTTACATTTTTCAAGAAAGAGTATTAAATGTTGTTTCTTTCCATGACGGAACTGTTTGGTACAATGATCTGAGCAGCAACCCCTCCCCCCATGTGGGTAATTACAGGAACTGACTTGGTGAAAGGTAACATTCGACTCCTGACCCATCCTGATTGAGTACTGGTGTTGGGTTAATCTGGCTTCCAGAGGTTTACCTGTTTGATCAACATAAGAGAGGGAGTATAGAGTGCATGGGACCTTGTAAACACCAATATTATTAGACTGTGTTTTTAATCAACCTCTGTTTCACTGTCCCATTGTTTTTGAAAGCAAGGTTTATATTGAACTTTTTTAGTGCCTCACGCAGGCAGACCAAATTATCACTGTATGGTAAAACCAGTACATTTTTCCTGGCAGGCACTTCATGAGGTTCAGTCCTGTAGAAAGTTTTTCTATCTGACAATAGTGCCTTCTCAACAAAATCCCCGAGATATCTCAGTTTTGTGGCTATATTAAATATCTTATTGATTTCATCTTCTAAATACTTCAACCTGCAGATACGCAAGATTCTCATGAACATTGTAAGGAAAACACTCCTGTTAACTCTAGATTCATGCCTGGAATAGTAATGAATATATGATGACACATTGGTGGACTTCGTGCGAACTGTATATTTGAATTTTCTGTCAACACGATGAATTAAATTATCTACAAAAGGTAGAGTTGTCTATTTCATGTTCTGTTGTGAACCTAATGAAAGGTACTAGCCCACTGAGTCTAGGTAGGAACTCATCAATGTTGTGATCTCTAGGCCATAGACAAAGAAAATCATCTATGTATCTGAACCACCTAGCTTTATTTAGGGGAACATTTTTAAGAAGTCTAGTCTCGTAGAGTTCCATATACAAGATGCTAAGTAAGGGGCCGAGGGGATTTCCCATGGTCATGCCTTGTTTTTGAGCCCTCAAACACAAACTTGCAATCAGTAACACAAAGTTTAATCAGCTCAATAATTATATTCGCGGAGAATATATTTCTCCTCTTCAAGATGCGTAAGCAAGTCAGGGACAGGGACACTGGTAGAGTGCTGTGACATCAAAACTCACAGGGGTAAAGTCGTGTGAAACATTTAATTTCTGGAGCCTTTCAGTAAGGTCAACATTATTTTTAATATACGCATCCGAGTTCCTACGAATGAGGGAGTTGAAAGTTTAACCAACCATTTAGATAGGTTATATGCTGCCGAGCCAGCTGAACTTGTAATAGGACGAACTGGGTTCCCTGGTTTGAGTCTTTATCAACCCATAAAGTTACGGTAGAGTTACTGACCCAGCTGACAGATGATTAATTCATCATTCTCCGTCAACAACATTCTACGACGTACATTCAAATGGCTATTTACCTGGTCGGTGGAGTTCTTAATGAGCGGTTCATACGTTTCATTATCACTCAATAAATTGTTCATTTTATCTAAATATTCGGTTTTATCCAAAATAGCAAATATGTTGGATTTATCGCCTCTTGAGAGATCCAAAGTCTGATCGTTACTGAGCTCCGCGTATGCTTTTGTGAATCTTTAATTTAGAATGCTAGGGCAATTTGGAATACAGATCTCCGTGCAATAATTAGCGAAATCTTCCTCTGATTGGCTTTAAATTTTCCAAGCTGATGTTTCCTACTTAGTGACACGGTTCCTGTTGGTTTAGAGCTGTGGGGGTGATAATTTGACATTTTCACTGAAGAATTTTGAGATATCAATTTCCTTGTGGTAGCTTGCGAATTCATCCTGTTATTGACTAAATTTGCGAAATAAATATCTACTTACATAGGAAACTTAAGCCACACTATATTATTCCTTTTGCGAGCACTGAGACAGAGAGCAGTGCCCGACAGAATGTATTAACATTGGTAGAATTACCGATAATATGTTACGTCAAAGGACACAAGTGCAACTGATGCGACATTTTATTGTGCAACATCAACATGGCAAAATGTGCAACAACAGGACATCCATCGTTGATGACATCAATCACTAAAGGATTCACAAGAAATTCAGAAGATGGCTTTATCTTTTTAGTTTCTCAAACCTGTTCTCAAAATCATTATAAAGTGTCTCTAAGTTTCCTTCGTATCGTGTCAATTTACTGTCTTCAATTTCAACATCAGGAAAGCAGTTATTCTTAATTTAAGGTTGGTAAAAGAGGTCAGATTTCTTTATTCCCAGATCTCATTGAAAAAGCTCTGTTTTATTCTGGAAACTGAAAACTGATTGGGAAAGTTTTATAATAACTTTGTAGATTCCTTGAAGTGCCAGATTTAAAGATTGGAGGTGTTGCATTACATCTGTAAAGAACATCAGATCCTGTACCCACTTGTGCTCTTCTACAAGTGGTATTTAATCAATAACAACACTGCGACTAGCTGGGGGATCGAACCCGTTTTGTTTTAGCCCTCCTCATGGTGAGCGAAAATTAACGACGCTCTAACCCACTGGACCATACAATCCTGCAAACAACTCGACTAGCGAACTAGGCTTGCTTCAAGCCTTACTGACCCAGGTAAAATCTTACTGACCCCAGCTATATTGTTATTGACCCTGGTACCTTCTTACTGACCCTGGTACCTTCTTACTGACCCTGGTACCTTCTTACTGACCCTGGTACCTTCTTACTGACCCTGGTGCCTTCTTACTGACCCTGGTACCTTCTTACTGACCCTGGTGCCTTCTTACTGACTCTGCTGCCTTCTGACTGACCCTTACGGTGCCCCGTGGCCTGGTGGCTAAAGCTCTCGCTTCGCACGGTGAGTGTCCGGGTTCGATTCCCGGCGAGGGTAGAAACACTGGGCTTGTTTCTTTACACCAGTTGTCTATGTTCCCCATCAGTAAAATGAGTACCTGGGAGTTAGTCAATTGGTGTGGGTAGCAGCCTGGGACAAAATTGACCTAATTTGCCAGAAATGCTCTACATATCAAAGGCTTATTATATAGCAGTATGTCGTTGATGTCAGCTAGGAATGTATACCTTGTACATGTACTTGTAGAAATAAAGATATTAATATTAATAATAATTAATATTAATATTAATTAGGTACCGTCTAATTGACCTAGACACCTTCTTATTGACCTAGGTACCTTCTTATTGATCTAGGTATCTTCTTATTGACTTTCTTGTCTCGTATTCCTTCTTATTGACCCAGATACCTTCTTACTGACCTAGGTACCTTTTTACTGTCCTAGGTACCGTGTTAATGACCTAGGTACATTATTAATGACCCCAGTACCTTCTTAATGACCCTTGTACCTTCTTATTGACCCTGATATCTTCTTATTGGCCCTGGTACCTTCTTATTGACCCAGATACCTTTTTTAGTGACCCAGGTACTTTCGTATTGACCCTGGTACCTTCTTATTGGCCCAGATATCTTTTTACTGACCGGGTATCTTCTTATTTACCCAGCCACCTTCTTAATGACCTGGTACCTTCTGGTTGATCCAGATACCTTCTTACTGACCCAGGGAACTTCTTAATAACCTTGGTACCTTGTGACCCAGGTAAATTTTTACTGAACCAGTTACCTTCTTACTAAACTTGGTACTTTCACACTGATCCTGTTGCCTTCGTACTGACCCTGGCATCTTCTTACTAACCTGGTATTTTTTTTTGACCAAGACACCTTCTTAATGACCCAGTTAGCTTCTTACTGACCTTGGTGCCGTCTTAATGACCCTGGTACCTTCTTACTGCCAGGTAAACAAGGACAGTGGGTATCAGGGAGGACGGGTTTTGTCCATATGTCTCGCCCTGGCCAGGGTGGTAACTGGAACCTTTTATTTGTAAGTTGAATGCAAGGCCCAGAAGACAATGGATAACCCAAGAAAGCCAATTAAAATGGCTTATTTTTGTTGAGATTTTTGTTTGTCCTCTCCTCTAAGATACGACCCTCAGGATTCGTCAACCTCCTAATTACCTATTTTCTTTTAGATGAAGAGGAGCAGGTGTAAGGGATCGTGATCCAACGTCTCGCCTCGCCTGGGGATTGAACATGGATAATATCAGAGGAGACCTTTTTGAGAAAGATTTGAACGTACCTAAGAGTACCAGGATGGGCAGGAGTAGCAGCCGGTGTGGCCAGCGGTCCATGGTGGGCGAGTACCCTCGTGTGTGTGTAGGGAAGCGGCACTCACACCCACCTGATATACAGTGTGTCATCATCTCCACCCTGCCGGCCCAGGCACCCGCCGCGCTGGCGCACCAAGGATGGTGGCATACATGTTTCAGTGTTGTTAAATCTTTATTTCTTGGGCTGAGGCAGAATCGTAAAAAAAAAATCCAAGCCGAAGTTAGTGTAATATGTTTATTATGCACCAATACCCATCGTGTGGGAGGTAGTCAAAAGATTACAGAGGTACATATAATGGGTCCAGGGACTGGGCCTCAAAGTTTTTAATAGCTGAGCAAGTTACAAAGGTAATCAACTCCTGGTAGATCTGGTCACAATCATGATAAGTTACAAAAGCATTTACAGATTACAGAGGTACATAATGGGTCCAGGGACTGGGCCCAAAAGTTGTGATAGCTGAAAAAGGTACAAATGTAATGAACTCACAAGTTACAAATGTAATGAATCATGTAAGTAAATTTACTTACGTTTATACATGGCTACAATCATGAACAAATTATAGAGTATTGAGCAATTCACACGTCCACACCCGGTCACAACTGTCATGAGTTATTGGTGCAAATATTAATTGTTGGGGTGGCCCGGTGGTCTAGGGGTGGCCCGGTGGTCTGGTGGCTAAAGCTCCCGCTTCACACACGGAGGGCCCGGGTTCGATTCCCGGTGGGTGGAAATTCCGACACGTTTCCTTACACCTATTGTCCTGTTCACCTAGCAGCAAATAGGTACCCGGGTGTTAGTCGACTGGTGTGGGTCGCATCCTGGGGGACAAGATTAAGGACCCCAATGGAAATAAGTTAGACAGTCCTCGATGACGCACTGACTTTCTTGGGTTATCCTGGGTGGCTAACCCTCCGGGGTTAAAAATCCGAACGAAATCTTATCTTATCTTATCTTATAGACACACACACACACACACACACACACACACACACAGCACCAGTTTGGAATCCACACCATGTCAAGCACGTCAAGAAATTAGAGAAAGTGCAAAGGTTTGCAACAAGACCAGTCCCAGAGCTACGGGAATTGTCCTACGAAGAAAGGTTGAGGGAAATCGGCCTGACGACACTGGAGGACAGGAGGGTCAGGGGGGACATGATAACGACATATAAAATACTTCGCGGAATAGACAAGGTGGACAAAGACGGGATGTTCCAGAGAAGGGACACAGACACAAGAGGTCACAATTGGAAGTTGAAGACTCAGATGAATCAAAGGGATATTAGGAAGTATTTCTTCAGTCATAGAGTAGTCAGGCCGTGGAATAGCCTAGAAAGTGACGTAGTGGAGGCGGGAACCATACATAGTTTTAAGGCGAGGTATGATAAAGCTCATGGGGCAGGGAGAGAGAGGACCTAGTAGCAATCAGCGAAGAGGCGGGGCCAGGAGCTGTGACTCGACCCCTGCAACCACAAATAGGTGACTACATACACACGTGGTAAGGATTTATTTACAGTGAGCAAAGTCAGGGTATTTCTCCAGAATGGTCTGTAATATACTACTGTGGATAAAATATAATGACATAT